ACTAATGCCTTGTAAAGGTGGTCACTAAGGCACAACAACAGGCATAACGTTAAAAAAAGCTAGCTAAATTGGTACCACAGCTGAGATTCTGAAGATATCACTGAGGAAAGCCTCCTTTTCTTCTAGGCTATAAATCAGTTTTTACAACCGACGAATGATCAGTGGATGTGTGAAGAATAAACTGCCGCTTTGAACCACTTCAGTGCCTGTTTATAAATTCACCTGCTCGTGTGTAGCTAGTTATATTGGCCGTAAAAAGTGTAGACTTCCCAAACGCATCTCTGAAAATTATCCAACGTGGTTAGCGAAACGACAATGCAAGACAGTTACTAGCTCATTTCTCAAGCACTTGATGAACTCAAGCCACGCAGCTCCAACCAAGTCGTCTTTCAAGATTATCTGTAAGGTGAGGCCAAATGGTACAAAGGGAGTCATACTTCGGCATTTGTGTATGGCGGAGGCGTTGGCGATTCGTCAATACAACTGCGAAATCTGTATACAGAAAAAGTGTGTCCAGTCTTGTTAATATATGTGTAAAACTTGAGCACTGTGGTAGTAAGTAATTCCATATTAGTTTGTTTATTAATGTATCACACAGTGAAACAGTATTGTATACTGGATGACGTTTCGAACACAATTTATTGTTCATAATCATATCAATTGTGATCAAATCTCAAAGTCGTGTGACCACAATTGATATGATTATGAACAATAAATTGTGTTCGAAACGTCATCCAGTATACAATACTGTTTCACTGTGTGATACATCTAATAAACAAACTAATATGTGTCCAGTCTCTTATTCTACCATAGTCTTAACCTCTTCATTAGCCGTTCTCTGTAAATTTTAAAAACATTTTTGTTTCTAGTGATAACTTTGGTTTTACTTTAGTAATTAACTCACTACTATTACTGTCACATGTTACTTTTGTACGTTTTGTCACCCTTTTCACATTTGTTAACTGGTCACTCAACTACCTTTCTTCTCTTTCAATAACAATTCTAACCTTAGCAAATTTCTAACCCTTTTTTCCTTTGTGCCATTATGTATTGCGTAATTTAAAACCTCTATTTTCTACTTCTGGAGCTACTTCTAAGTAATTATATCAATTATAGAACCCCTACTACTCAAAAATGAACTACTATACATTTTGGTAAATATAAATACTCAAGTGTTGGTTTGTAGGGATTTGATTGCTTACAAGATTTCATCATCAGCTGACATTGGTTAGAAAACCATTGGAAGACCTGGGAGTACCGGACAGCTGTTTCGTCCTAGTTTGGAAATCTTCATCAGCCGCACCCCCACCAGGGTTCGAACTCAGGACTTTCTGGTTACAAGGCCGACGAGCTTGTAGACCACTGAGACACTGGAATCCAATCCAATGGTCACTGCATGAATTCCAATTTCTGCCAATTCACGACATAACGCGAACCCTAGCCAATGTCTTCGGCGATTATTTGTCCTCACATCCGACCTGCCGCAACCTACTGGTCACAACTTCTCACTAGAACCCCACGTAACTACCTACTAGGTTAGTAGGGTGCAGGATCAACCGCTTTCAACAGAATCAATGTGAAAGAGGTTACTTCCTTTACTCATCTAGCATGTGCAGTTTCAACTACATGCAGTCGGAACAAATGAAGATACCAAAACCAGACAGCCAGAATAGGAAGGGCAAGCTACACATTCATCATTCTGAAATCATTTCGGAAGTCTTCTGCACTCAGTCAGTATAAAGAACAAGATTCGGATTTTCAACACAAATGTGAAGTCAATTCTTCTATATGAGTAAGGAACTTCGCTTGCACTTCGCATCACGGAAAGCATTTCCAACAGGCTACCGCAAACTTTTATCAACATCGGTACTCCCCACCTCCATACTGGAGATCAGATAACCAGCAGGAAAGAACTGACAACAGGAAACTATGGAAGTAAACCCACCAAGAACCGACTGTCCAACGAGTATGCAGAAGAAAATGGAGACGAATTAAGCATAGATTGAGGAAAACGTCAAATAACATAGCACTCAGGCCATCGCTCCAGTGGAGCCAGAGTGGGAAATGACGAGTTGGGGATGGGTCTGAGAGTGACATGTGGGAGATCGTACGACAATAAGATAAGAGATTATCATCAATCGTGGGCCCAGATGAAGAGGATAGCAAAAAATAGAACAAAGCGGAGATGTGTTGTTGAAGTCCTATGTTCCACTCAGAACCCGAAAAGGCATTAATTATAATAATAGTAATACAAACTATTGATTATGTAACAGCCTGTTGACAATTTCTGTAAGTTAACTGGTCCTGAATTCATCAACTGTTTACACCCCCTTTTAATCAAATTCCCAATTTACACAGTCCGAGGGAGTGAAATTTCATCACAGTTTTCTTTAGAAATCGAAATTATTGAGAAAACAGTAGGTGATCTGTTTGATATGTGGCTGAGAAAGCAAACACATATACGTAAGATTACATACTACTGACTGGCTGAGTTGAGTGTTTGCATGCCACTCATACTAACCAGTAGTGCTTGCTAGACAGACTATCGAAGTGATCTTAACGCCGGACAGCCGCTTCGTCCGTTTTGGGCTGAGCTCATCAGAAATGTACCCATTTTGACTCAGCTCACAAAGCTGAGTGCCCAGTTTTTATGCTGATACCATAATGGAACTACAGGAAGTAAATTTTGATCTTGAACAGCACAATGATGAAATCTCTTATTGCAGCTCTGTGTGTGATGCGGGTTCGAATATCAATGGGGTGGCAGTTCCTACGAAGCTTTCATGAAGCTCTGATGACGAGTGGCATTAGGCACGAAACGTAGATCCACGATATCTATGAAATTACTTTCAACCAACCGGCATCACTGAATCTCTATTCATCAAATCAACAGTCAATACGTTCAATAGGAATGATGTATCGGTAATCTCAGATATACGGTATATATGTGTGTGAATATTACTGAGGTGAAAAAACTCTTTAACATTCTTTTTAGCCAGATAGATTTCAGTTATAGAGGTACTCACTCCTTAAAAAATGACTATCCTTGAACGGCACTGAAGACACAAAACTACACTCAAAGTTTGTGACCATCCGCCACCAAGAAGCTATCCAATATTACAGCAGAGAGAATATACCACACCGAAATAAGAGATGATACTTTACAACAAGCTATACGTGAAGTCCAAAACTCTTAACTAGACTCTCGGGACGGTAAACACCAATGAAGGCTGGAGACAAACGATGATATGCATGGCTCAAAATCGTTCTCAATGGCTGGCGCAGATGCATCCAATCCTTGTGACTTATAATTTCCAATAACACTATATTGTTCTTTGATATTACTATTCCTTTTGACTTATATATCTCTGTTTACTGTCTCTATTTTGCATTTCTTTTTACTTTCTTCTCTGGCTTTGTGTGTTGAATGAAGAGTATGGCGACTCGAACTGTTGCATATCAGTGCAAAGTTCTATATTGAAACCAGTGATTCGTGTAATATAACAATGACTATATGATTTCCGAAGAGGGCATAGTGTGATACCAGCCCCGCTAGCAGAAGACCACACTAAAACAGTCTCATGGGGTATGAAATCTCTAGCGAAATCTAACATTATTTCATAGTGCTCCCCAATGACGAAGTCATCCAGCTTGACTAACGGATGATTTTAGTCCCACGACAACACACTAAGGGGACTACACACACAAACATGATACATTAGTTAGCCGCTGGTCTCTCCCAACCTCATCTCTGGCCTACATCCTTAATCTATATCAGTCTTCTCAATGACACAATCTTCTACAGTTTATAAAAACAAACCAGAGAATCCTCGTCGAGAATTGTTGCACAGAACGATTTATTGCAAAATCTATGAATCCTAGACCACAAAAGCTTCCCATGCTTAGCGTCCCGTAAAAACTACTCTAGAGGAACCTTCAATTCAATGGAGATATATCTGCGGAAACACTAAAAAGTCGACTGTCGCGCTCACTCAAGAATACCTTCTTCACAGCTGAACCACGATTAACTTTCTCCACAAAATCTAGGATTCATGTGAACGTGAAGGATAAACTACCACCGCTGGCCAACTCATTAATGTGTATTTATCAATTCACCTGCACGTGTGTACCCAGGGATGTCAGCCGTACCCAGCGTTCGCTATCCAAGCGTATCACCTAACACCTATAAACATGGTCGTACAAAGGAGAAAAACGATGTCCCCCACAGCTCTATCTTAGAACATCTGATAGAATCCGGACACCAAACTGCACCCCAAACAAACTTGAAAGTCGTCTACAGAATACAAAGTAGTCTTCCTAAAGGTGTACGAATCAGACACCTTCAAACTGCAGAAGAAATGGCGATTCACTGAACTCTGCATACAGAAGAAGTTCGTTGAATCACCACACTTGCTATGAACTTAATCTATCTCATTACCCGACAAGTAAATTCTATCTAATCTTGTTCTTCTCCTCTATCGTTTCATTAGTATTATTTTGTCTTCTCAATTGTGATATTCTGTATTTTCAGCTTTTTTGTTCTCTACCCCCACTCGATTTAATTTCTACACCTCACTACCACTGTTACTGGCTTGACCAACGCTCAATTTCTAGTCATTTATGTTACGTCATCAAATTTGTTTGTTCAACTTCAGTACTAATTTAAATGGCATTATTCTCTACCCCACTTCTGCTTAGTCTCTACCTGTAATTACCTCTGTTACTGTCCTGACCCAAGTTGAAACAATTTAGTCAATTATATTACGTCATTTAACTTACTAACTCAATTTTACTTTAGTTTCTGTCTAATTAACCTTGTTTCTATATTAGATCATTCTTGTATTACCTGATTAATTATCTAAACTCGACAAACCTCATGTACCACACACACACACACACACACACAAATAATTGTGCATAAATGCGATTGCACAGCTATGTGAATGAATTCGCTGAACGTCTTCTCTTTTTTTCATATGACTCAATGGGGATTTTCAAGCTAAACAAATCAAAACACACTCACAGTCATACATCAAAACTACTATTACAAAATAAAATAAAAATAATAACAACAATAAAAAAAGGAAACAATATTCGTATACAAAAAGGAACATAACACATAACTTGAGTCTAGAAAAGAAAAACACAACGAGAAAAACAATTGAATATGAAGAAGAGTAAAAGTTGCTTTTGTTTTTTAACACCTTCTCCATCTCAAAACACACATATGTGCACAAGACATTTACTGCCCAAAAGGTTAATCATCATATTCATTATTGCTGCTGTTGTCGTTATTATTACTATTATTATTTGATCGATCCGTGGAAATTTTGTACCACTATTTGTCACTGAACACACACGCAGAGAGAGAGAGAGAGAGGAAGTGAGACAGTAAATCACTCATTCACATTCTAATGGATGGATATATGTCCAACCAAAAAGGTAGGACGAGGATGATGAGGAGGAGAGAAGAGTGAGTACTACACTCTCATACATAGTTCATAATTCATCATACATGAGTGGAGGTAGACACAGAGAGAGAGAGAGAGAGTGAGTGAGTGAGTGTACAAAACTGCAGTAGCAGAGGATTCTGACAACATTAGATCACTGAATAAAAGTCATGTAGTAGTCGTAGCAGTAGTCACAGTTATTGTAATTGAGTAACGAATGACAACACAAGAGTATTAATGCTCGTCCCCTCTACACCATTATTCTCCCCTATTGCTTCGCCCCCGCCCTTCTTACCCATTTAATTTTATAAAAAAACACAGCATTATATCCCATAGATAGATAAATAAACAAACGAGTGAGTACATTCATAAAAACAAAAAAACCTTAACACATAAACACACACAGAGATCGATAATTGTTGGGTTTTTTTGGAGTTTTTGAAAGATAAAAAAACAAAAACAAATTAGGACACAAAAAGGGGCCTAAACATTGAATGAGCATTGTGCGGAGGTGGAGAATTCGAACGAGGGTTGCAGGGTGGGGGGGCGAGAAAATAAAAATTAGGTAACTTTACACATACTTTTTGTAACGCTTTAAAATCCACACTACACTTCACTTGGAGCATAATGAGACATTTTTCTGCCCAATTCTTTATCATTATTCATAACTATTTGATCATCGAGTCGTTTAGATGCATTGGTGACATTGTTATTACCTGGTTCAACGAGACCGTCTCTTGGCATATTACGTACAACACTATGCGGGTAGATTTCTCCACCTTTCATACTTGTTGGATACTGGTAAGCTGGGGGAATAGGATTTTCTAGCGCTCCTATTGGAGCTGATGGAATCGGTCGTTGACGTAGATTAGCTATACCACCTTCTTCTAGTTGTAAACTCATAAATCCAGGATGATTTCTATCCACATTATTATTATTAATATTACTTGGCCTTGACAAATCATTTGGTATATCCATTGGACGTTGAGATAAATAACTATCATAATCACGATATTTATGCGATTTTGGGATAATTGGTGGACCACGAAAATCAATCCCAGCGAACCGTTTTTTATAATCCGCAAATAAATTACATACAATCTCTACAGTCACTAAATCTCCGGCATTCATTGACAACATACGTAGAATAAAATGTCCATCTTGTCGTAAAAACTCAGCCATAAAACGATCTATCAGGAGAGAGATTTTTGGATCATCACGATCATATGCATCAGCTATCTTTAAAAATCTACGTACAAAATGTCGTTGACGCTTTTTCAATCCCATACGATACAACCACAGTGGTATGCTGAGCATTGTTAACACCATTACTGAACCAAGAAAAAAGAATAGAAAAATGTAGATCTTTTCATTGAGCATATTGATCGGGAGAACACATTGGGCAAATAGGTTGTTACTAGCACCAACATGTTGAAGTGTATGCCGACACATTCCAACTCTAGGAAAAACTTGTGTCTCTGTCCATTGTTTCCCGTGTACAATATCAGAGAGAACACGAAAACCAAATAGCCAATAACCTTCACGTGAATCAAATCGAAGGAAGACATACATCATGTAGAGTTGACAAAATCCAACAATGGAATACAACACTTTAATAGCTAAATACACATAAACTAAATTATTCCCATGATGTTTACCCGGCATAAATGCCAGTGAACGTCGAAATGATGCCCCTGGGCTATCACCACCACGGTATTCACGACGACTGAATAGTAATAATTCGAGTGTTTTAGCAATATGTTGAACCATTTTCTGACGTTTTTCACCGTCTTCTTTTGAAAGTAAATTAGCTTGACGTATAAGATTTTGTAGATCAGTTCCTGTACGATTATATGTGAATATACTCCATATAATTCGTGGGATATAATACAGAATAGCCTGTAAACCAAGCACTAATGGTACCCATTGATAATAATCTGTGGAGAAAGAAAGAAAAATAAGACACATACACTATTATGCTATAAAAAATATATATACACAATATAATACGATAGAATACTTATGTGGTGTGTGCTACTTATAAGATTTATCAGTAGTATATAAAGAGGGGTTCAAAAATATCAGATAGCAGAGAGATACACGGATAGATTTCACGTAGATTTGCTCTAAAAGAGCAAATGATTGAGATTTGCGGCAAAATATGGGAGACGTGAGAAGAAGACAGAGAAACACGATACGAAGGGGACAACACGGAAGATCTGTGCAAATGATAACTTGTGGATAAGGTGTAAATAGTCTGGCTATATAGAGGTATCGAAATCCAAACGAATACCTCTTTATTCAAGTGTTGGCTTGTAGGGATTCGATTGGTTACAGGATTTCATCATGAGCTGACATTAGTCACAGAACCATCGGAAAACTGTTTCGTCCTAGTTTGGGACTCTTCAGCAGTACGCATCCACCGGGGTTCGAATCCAGGACCTTCTGGTTACAAGGCGAGCGATCTCATATATCATTAAGCCCCTGGGACCCAATCCAATGGTCAGTGTATGAATTCCCAACTTCTGCTAATTCATGATATAGCACAACCACGGCCAGCCAATATCATCAGCGGTGAGTATTTGTCCTCATACCCAACCTGCTGTACACTACTGGTTACCAATTCCTACCAGAATCCAGGTAAAATTACCTGCCCCCCTCACAAATTTCATAATCTAAATATCAATCTCCAAATCATTCATTGATGTATGTTAAGTAGAAGAACTGAAGATGTACTGAGAATTCGTCACCAGCTTATCAAAGGCATTGATGAGGGTAGTGCTTATATCACCAGTTAACAACGTTACAATCCACGTGGCATTGGATTTCTGCCCAAGTAACTGAATGGTCAACTTGCTTGGTGACGTAAAGCTCAGGGTCCCGGGTTCGATCCCTAGTGGGATGGTGGGGACATACTGATGAAAAGTCCCAAAGTGTAGGACGAAACAGCTGTGTGCAGTACTCCCTGATTTCCAATAATCTCTCCAACTTATGTTGTTTAACAATGAAATCGAACAAATGAATGTCAGATATAAGTTAATCTGACTTCTGAAGAAACAAAACTGTTGATATCTCCAGTTCATTTTAGGTTTATAAGTTCAGCTTACACTGCACTTTCTACAATCATAAGACTAACAATTCTCTATTAACATGCACAATTACTGACCGACTGAGTTTCACCAGAGAACTTTGCGCAGAGGTGAGGCAATACTTCAAGTCGCTACACTCCATGCAGCACGCAAAGGTGGAGAAAAGAAACGAGGCGACTCAAAAGAACTGTTTATTATTATTTTATTTTAAATTTTGTTCCTTTACGTCCCGACTGGAATATAGGGCTTCAAGCTTCAGTTATGAAGTTTCAGTAGTAGTGATATTTTCTGCGTGATGGGGTTGCCAACCCCCCCTCTTAATCTTCCCACTTTACAGGACTTACTATTGGTGAAATGGACCCCGGACCATAGTGCATTGTTGGTGAGCAGTCTACCGATGAACCACTGATGCACCAAGAGAAATACAATTAGCAGTTTCCAGCCGTTGATCCATAGTGTCTCAAGGACCCCAAGAAGGCGGTCTACACCTCTTTATGTAGCTCAAACTAACAGTCAAAGAGCACCCTTATCTTCTTCCCAGCCTAATCCTCTATCACTTAGCATTGCTCGACGACGAAGACGGTGACTCAGCAAACACATGTGTGTCTAGGCTACCTCAGTCGATTTACCTGTGCAATCTCATCACCTGACTTATCCCCCCTCTCCTTCTTACTTAGTACTATGCCTAACTTCAATGTTGCTCACAAAAGTGAACACAGGAGATGGAACACAAGCCTCTGTAGTCAACCACAGCTGGCCTCTTCCATATGTTTTCTACTTTCAATGACCAGCAATCAGTTCATTAGGGTTGGAGTAGCTTTGCAAATAGGCGAAGTGGTCAACACGCTCTACTAATTCACTTCACATAATTGTTATGATAGTGCTACTACCCACAACTGTCCAGTCAGGCTGAAGTAGACTGATAGGTGAGACTCGAACTGGTGACCTAGGACAGGATTGAAAACTGAGTGCTCAAGCCAATGACCCACACATCTCTCCACAATACTGACAGTAATAACTAGGAAAAAACTGGCAGAATCAAATAGATCAATAGCGTTCACATAACACTTCTATTGATACTATCATTTGTAATCTTAAGAAAGCCAGCAAAAGGAATGTCAAACAATAACAGAAAGACACATTTAACTAAAATTCATGTATAAACAAAAAAAACTGGGGTCAATGTCACACATCGTATTGTAAATAAATAAACAAATCTATAACAAGAATCAAGATTATATGCTGGTAGCTAGCTGCAGAGGAAGGAGGGAATGAAAAACAAACAAACATACAAAGAAAACAACAAATTTATGCTTTATGCAGGCGTATAGATTGGCTGAAGAGCGGAGAGATTTATCAACCCAACGAAAAAGTCACTTCATTCAATTCATCACTGACATTAATTTTCAGACTTTTAAATTATTGTAACAGTAGAAGGCAAGATACGGAAGCTAAGGTGTATATATCAACCGATCAATTGATATATATATACAGTTTATGTTCTTTAAGCAATCAATCACTGTGTGATTTTGGTTTATATTACACGGCATGGTATAGATTATTATTCCGTTGCTAAACGCAGCATTGAACTGTGGGAATATACACTCACAACCACACCGACAATATACACTACAAACACACTTTAAAGTCGTCTACACAGAATAAGAAGCAGTCTTCCTAAAAGCGTGCGAATCAAACATCTTAAAAACGGCAGAAACAATGGCAATTCACATGCTAAGCCCTGAACTCTGAATACAGAAGTTCGTTGAATCACCACACTTGCTATGGAATTAATCTATCTCATTACCCGACAAGTAAATTCTACCTAATCTTGTTCTTCTCCTCTGTCGCTTCATTAGTATTATTTTGTCTTCTCAATTGTGATATTCTGTATTTTCAGCTTTTTTGTTCTCTACCCCCACTCGATTTAATTTCTACACCTCACTACCACTGTTACTGACTTGACCAACGCTCAATTTCTAGTCATTTATGTTACATCATCCGATTTATTTGCTCAATTTTAGTCCTCTACCTCTACTTAGTCTCTACCTGTAACTAATTCTGTTGCTATCCTGACCCAAGTTGAAACATTTTAGTCAATTATATTACATCATCTAACTTACTAACTAACTAAATCAATTTTAAAATAATAGAAAAGATTTGTAACTCAGGTGGATGATTTGCAATTGATAGTGTTCTCTGAGCTCCTTGGTTTAATTGCGGAGCTTTCATCGTCTTTCTGGACGATATCTTCAGCGTAGTATTTGGGATAAAGTGGAATGATTTAAATTTCTTCATGAGTCTCCCGGTAACCATCTTTAGATCTGTATTAACCGTTTTCTATTGATTGGGATTTTAAACTTTCTGATCACCTGATTTACTTTTTATTAGTTGGTATATTTCATCTATATTAACGTGTCCTCCAGAAAGACGATGAAAGCTCCGCAATTAAACCAAAGAGCTCAGAGAACACTATCAATTGCAAAACTCAATTTTACTTTAGTTGCTGTCTGATTAACCTTGTTTCGATATTAGATCATTCTTGAATTACCTGATCAATTATCTAAGCTCGACAAACCTCATGTACACACACACACACACAAATAACTATATAAATGCGATTGTACAGCTATGTGAATGAATTCGTCGACGAAAAGAATCTCTTCGCTGAATATCTTCTTTGTAGGAATATGTCAAAATAATATTCTGTTGGAACAGATTGCCTGTATCACACCGTCACACTATTATCTAGAATGAGTAGTGGTTATAGCGTTAGTAAGTGTGATAGGAAGCAACTGAACTGTGAATCAACCTTTCTAAGTTATTGCCTCTGTTAGGGTAGTTGACATTTTATTGCGCAGGTTGAGCTTTATGGTTAGCGTTATGTTATGTGAACCAGATAATTTCAGCTGGGTAATTTTCAGCCTCGTACGAACAATTTCGTTGTGTCATCATTGACTTGGTGCATTTTTTGTGTGTGGGAAAAATGTTTAGGTATACGATATTTTTTGATTTTTGATTTCAGCTTGATTCCACACCTTATTTTTTGGTACAGGTATGGAATTTTCAGCATGTGATATCGGTAGCCCAAATTTTGCAGGCCGACCATAGATATCAGGTGTGCGTCGGCAGGGGATCGAACCCCGGACCATTTGCATGGTCGGGGAGAGTCCTAACCACTGTGCCACCGACGCACGTCATCCTTACAGCCACAGAATAGCCTCTCTCTCTCTCTTGATATTTTCATCCCTCAGGGATATAGATGATGCTGAAAGACCGGACTGCACCGACTCCTAGTTTGAAGATAGGGGGGGAGAAGTAGCAGAGAGTATTGACCACTTCATTTATTTGCACAGATGCATCAGCCCTAATTGACTGATTGCTGACGAAATCTCAGCACAGATAAAAAAAGCTGATGTGGCATTTGTCAAATTGCGTCACCTCTCGCGCAGACATGCTATCCGACTGTTGACTGAAGGACGTGTACGCTGTGTAGCGATTCGCTATGTTCTCCTTTATGGCTGTGGAACATAACCAGTAGAAATGAAAGATGAATTTACGTTTTCTTTCATGTGCCAAGTTATGTGTTATAGTGAGTAATATTTAGGTCAGGCTTACAATGTTAGGTAAATCAATCGATGAGGTTGAGAAACGACATCAAGGAGATGGCCATGACATGTGTTTTATGCATTCCCACCCATCATCTTCGTCGTTGAGCAATGTTAGACGACATAGATTAAGGCTGGAAAAGAGTTGGAGGTGCTTAAACCAAAACCTGTCATCAGTCTATGAAGTTTCCGACATTTGGTTCAGGCCAACCATGTAAGCAGGAGCAGGCTTTCTGGCCG